GCTGCCATACAACCACGATGAGCTATGAAATAAAGAATAATAAGAGGGAGAGAAGGGGAGCTTACCTGAAAACCTTATTGCCCTAAGCAAACATTCAGGGTCAAGGCACCTACACCTGGTGTAGACAACATTCCGTCACAAACAGCTGGCTATCGTGCAAAGATAAGGCGGCATCGGCGAGACAGCTTCCTTGCGCCTTTCACTGCCACACGTCATAATCAGCCATTACCCCGCAGATAACTCAGCACCAAACACACTTTAAACAGGCAATCCGATTAGGAGACGGCAGCAGACGTGGCACTGGTGTCGGTTGCGAGCCATGTCCTGTAAAGTCTCGAGCTAAGCAAAAGGCGAGTCACGTGAACTCCAGCCCGGAAGGCGAGACGGACCAACGGCACTCAGTTTGGTCGTTAGTGACTTCATTTCCCGCTGCCAAGTCAACTTCTGTCCACCTCGAGCCTTGTGCTACCCTACACCTGGTAGACTGAACAAGACCCTCCTAGGTAAGCGGTGACCAGGCATACGTAGCACGTGCCAGATCCAACGCAACTTATTCAGTGCTATCTGTAGCTCTGGGGAGCTAGCATGATTATCACCACCTAGTACTTGCCTACGCACATCATCGTTGCGGACACTGGTGCTATCCGACACCAGCAATGCTTCTCAGACAACGATGATCAATGACTTGAAAGTGCCTCAGATCTTCAGACCGAAGGGGCCGTCTCACCCCCATAAAGCAGGACAACCCTCACTGTGGCCTTGTATACACGGCCTTTCAGACGGAGGTAAATTCCCTTCTGTCGCCAAAAATGCCGCGGATTCAAGAAGGCAGTTCTGGCCTTTGCGGTGCGTGAGCTGACGTCAGTTTCTATGCGCCCATCGTTGCTGATGTAGCTGCCAAGGTAAGTGAATTGATCAACCACCTCGAGTTCCTCGTTAGCAAGCGTCAGGGGGTCATCAAGTGGCTGGTGGTCCTGCAGCAACACTTTGCGATTTGAAGGTGCGAACTGCATACCAAATAGTGGGACCGCTCTAGACAGGCTATTCAGGGTTGATTGCTCCGTCGCGACATCGTCGAAAAGCAAGACGATATTGTCCGCATAATTAAGACCAACTCACCATTTACCAGGCAGGACCTTAACGCCTACATGGTGAGATTCCGCAAGTAAGCACTCCACGACGAAATTGAACAAATGGGGAAATCGGACAACTCTGACGAACGCCACTTGTGGTCGGAAAGCTATCCGATAGGACACCGTATACCCTGACGCGGCCTGTATTGTTCGAGTATAGAGCACGTGAATGTTCACATGTTTCGTGGGAACACCTTTCCTCGTAAGTATTTCGAACAGGATCGATCGGTCGACTGAATCGAACACACTCTTGAAATCGAGGAACACAGCTATTCGAAATAATTTGGAACACTGGTAGCCCGGGTTGGTTGCTCAGCTGTTGATCGTTTCTCCGAGCTTGATAAATGGATTGCATACGTTTCAGCACCATGCGAGGTGGCATCTTCAGTGCATTTATATCTAGTGTACAATCCTGGTTGTTGAATCGTAAGTCCGTGATCGAAGGGCAGGCGACTTTTGAAGGTAACATTTTCGATTTGCGCCACGTGATTTCTGCCCATTTTCTTTCGCGGCTGAACCATGTCTTTCTATTCGCCGGAGATTTTAGCTTTCTGAGCTGATGGTACAGGGGGTCGATGTCGATGCACATGTTGTTTTGATTATTAGAGGAGTACCATGCTTCTAGGAATTCTCTTCTTTTCTGTGTGGCTGTTTGAAGTAGCATCTTCGTTTCGTTCCACTTGAAGCTATCTCCCTTCTCAACCACATGCGCTGAGACAAGACACGATGCATAATGTTTTTTACGAGCCCTCTGATGTTCTTGTATTCTCGTGTATAGTTTCCTTTCTGTCTGTCCCACATGGTTTATTTCACAATTATTACAATTTATTTTATACACCACGTTTGTTCGTTCTTGTGCTTTCCGAATGTCCTTTAGTTTTGATAATATTCTTGGCTTGTGAGTGACCACTATGCGGTGTTTTTTGAGCTCACCTGTTGATCGTTTCTCAGAGCTTGATAAAGGGATTGCATACGTTTCACCACCATGCGAGGTGGCATCTTCAGTGCGGTGATATGCAGCGTACAATCCGAATTGACTGCTAGATTGCTCAAAAAACACCGCACCGTGGTCGCTCACAAGCCAACCGCTACTTTGAGAAGAATACTGTCAAACCTAAAGGACATTCGGAAAGCACAAGAACGAACGAACGTCGTGTATAAAATAAATTGCAATAATTGTGAAATAAACTATGTGGGACAGACAGAAAGGAAACTATACACGAGAATACAAGAACATCAGAGGGCTCGTAAAAAACATTATGCATCGTGTCTTGTCTCAGCGCATGTGGTTGAGGAGGGACGGACTTACAATTCAACAAGCAGGATTGTACACTGCATATCAATGCACTGAAGATGCCATCTCGCATGGTGATGAAACATATGCGATCCTTTTATCAAGCTCGGAGAGACGATCAACAAGTGAGAACACGGCTATCGTTGGTCTTCACTAGCATACGCACAGTTGCAATCCACTGCACGATATAGAGTACACTAGGCTTGTGTACAGAAAGCGATAACCATTCCCGAACCGTCAAGCTGCGGCCTAGCTCGACGCCCCTTAAAGGCTTGGATCTCTGCTCGTTCTCTGAAGCTGTTCGAACGCCGCAAAGATATCCCAGCGGAGTCAGATTACAACGAGCGGCGCCGTTGTGCCAACTGCCCTTATGGCGTCGCTTGCTAAAGAACGGCGTGCTATCTTACGAGCACTTTACCTTCATACCTCTGGCAGAGAGAGAGTCTACGGCAAGTTTTCTTCAACATTCGCTGTCAATAGCAGTGTGCGACAGGGCTGCCCTATGTCCTCATTCCTAAATAAATAAATCCGTGAAGGGGCTACCCTGTCCTCTGCACGGCAGTAACGTGTAAGTCATTGGATAGTGAGCGGCGCTATATCACATCTAGTAACTTATTCACGATGGTCGTTGCCGTCCCCCGGAGCTCAGTGGTCTCAATCACGGACTGGCAACAGTCGAGTTGCGGGTTCGAGCCCTACCAGGGTCCGATGGAATGCGCACTGCTGACGATTCCCGAAAGGATGAAACGCGCGTACAGTTCATTTCCGGGCGTGTGACGGCTGTCTGAGTGAGTCCAGATGTGACGAATATCTACCTGTACCATTCAACTCCCCCTACTACTCTTCTGTAACTAAATAAAATGTCTATTCTCGACTAAGTGAGGCACGCCTGCACAGGCATGATCACGTTAAGAATACAAAATGCGATCAGTTAATGTACAGTAGAGCAATGGGATTGCCGCATATGTTGATATATGAATGTATGTAAGTGGGCATGTGTAGCTGTGTTTATGGGATTTTGAAATGTTTTTCTGCCCTTTTGATCGTGCTGGAACGTGTCGCCAGTGTTACATGGATGCTTGATGACTGTAGACTTGAAGCGGTTGTCCGGATAAGTAATGGGTGACTTTAGTTGGTGGCGAGTCACAACCGCCACGTCACAGTGTTGTTAAACGGACATTTTTGGCGAAACCCACCACGTCCTGGAACACTGCCGCCGAACTGTTTGCTGGAACCACTCAGCTGGCACCACGAGGACGTTGTTCGGCTAGCAAGCCAATGGAAGACCTTTTGTCAAGTGCTCTAGAAGGATTCCAACATTTTGGTCTAGAGCTTCTACCGGGTGAACGCGCGACTGACTTGGATTATGCTGATGATATCGCCTTACTTGGTGACAATCCTCAGGGTATGCAACACATTCTGCATCGTTCGGCCGTTGAAGCATATAACTATGGCATGAAGTACGCCCCATCGAGGTGTAAAGTACTGCTCCAGTATTGGCTTACACCTGCCCCCGTGCTCACACTTGGAGGTGCACACCTTGAACATGTAGAAAGTTTCGTCTATCTTGGGAGCTGTATTTTTGCTGACGGCACTATCATCAAAGAAGTTTCTTTGCATCGCTAAAGCCCGATCAGCATTTGCCAATCTGAGACACTTGTGGCGTCATCAGGACGTCTCCTTCTCGCTAAAGGGCCGCGTTTACAGCGCATCTGTTCGTTCTGTGTTATATGAGAGCGAGTCCTGGCCAATTTGCGTGGCGTACATGCGTTGTCTTTCTGCCTTCGGTAACTCTTACTTAAGGAGGATTGCTCGTGTTTGGTGGCAACTTCGAGTTAACAGTAATGACGTTCGACGTCGCATCTTGGAGAATGCGATTATTCCTTTCGACAAACTTGTTTTGCTATGCCAGTTGAGATGGCTCGATCACGTCCTACGCATGGCACCTGAGCGCCTACCACGTCGCGCCCTATTCGCTTGTCAAGGACCTGGCTGGACCGCGTGGAGGTCAGCTTTTCACTTGGCGACAGCACATACAATCGCTGACGTCGTGTCTAGCCGCTGTTTGACCCGTCTGTCTTCCAGAATTATATTGATTCATATGTTTAACAGTTCAAACATTGAAAATGACAAAAAAGAGCAAAATCGGCGTATGAAAACAAACCTAAAAGCTTTTGTTCTCTTTTTGTCAAAATGTTCCTTTCTGCGGCATAGTAGCTGAAGGGTATTTGCTCACCTTCAAGTACTATATCACGGTGATTATGACGCGGTGACCTTCCCTTATTTGCTAATCTCCATGGCTTTGTTAGCTCTATGTCTAGTTGCTAGACCGTTGAGATTACATGCATACATACGTTTCTTGGTGTTTTTCCCATTGCTCTGTATACGTCTATGGTTTTGGAACCTTCTTCCGCATTCGCCAACCGGTCTTAGTTTCACTTTACGTACTGTTCGTGAGTTCTTTCACAAATTATTCACATTGTTTTTCAGAGTGTATGTATCTTACTTTAGCCGTCAGTAGCTAAATAAAGCTCCAGATGACGCTGCCTCCCATTTTGGTCTTTTATTTTTAGCCTCCCGCTGCCCCGATCCCACCATACGTAACCCACGTCCCTGTACTGAATTCCTACGTTGTGGAGTGGAGAAAGTGGCTTTTGAGCAAGGTAATATACTTAAACTTTGTCCTTGCTTTGATGTTGACTCTGTGCTGTGTTTGAAAAAGTATGTTTTGCATTTATTTTACCTCTTTATTCCCTACCCTTTACACCAGCCACAGATTCAGGAAGAGAAACACTTTATATAACTTTGCCAGTCGAAAATGCCCTCACTTATCGAAATTCATTTTGGTTGACGACCCGCGGAAACTTATCCCAAGTTTCGGTTTTCGCACAAACTTGCAAGCCTTGCTCGTGTTTTCATTTACGCTAAGATCACCGGATTGCAGTTTATTACTCCAGTTTTTCGATTCAGTAGCGAAAATTGTCCGCATATCATGCTTCAGCATTCTACATAATAGAGACGAAACTAATTGACATTAAGCTGCGTTTAGTGCTGGTCCTATGGTGGTCCATCGACCAGAGGGCTTGTTGTCAATCAGCGACTGGGTGACGCTGGTACTGCTAGGTTCCGTTGCCAGGCTTGCGCGACGGTTGATATAAATCAATGGTAGAACTCCCCTAATGTACTCGGAGCACAGTGACGGTGTCCGGTTCCTGCGATAGCATTCTTCGCATCACCCCCCATTTCCAGTTGCTAGTCTCTCGGGCCCCTGCTTTTCGACTCTCCTTCAAGCCTTCGGAAGGCAGTACTCTTTTCGGCGACACGATTATTTTAATGCCTGTGCATATGAATCGGTTGGGTACTCCGTATTTTTGTGCGAATCGAATTGCTGTCAACGAACTCGTACTGCATTTGCGTGTTCTCTTCCTTTTTTCACGCCCCTGTTAATGTTTCTCATCAGACTCTTGTGGAATGTGGTAAGCGGGTCCACCACAGTTTAGCGTTGTGCTAGTCCATTGCCCGTTACTCTGAGGTTACGAAGCGTGAAAGAAAGTAAGGTGGATGGTAACTGGGTGTCGCTGGCGCTAAAACTACAATACACGGCACTTTCCGACCTTGTTTGTTCACATCAGGTGGAGATGGCAGACCTCGAACTCCAGACCATTGGAATAGTAGTCGAAACCCCTACCCCTTTGGCTACCCGGTCACGGTGAGCCACTTGGCACAACGGTTACTGACTGATTGGTGGGTCTTTTGAAGGACTCTTTGTGTGAATGGATTGCGACGCACAATCTCGATATGCACTGCGATTCACATTGAAGTGAATCATGCTCAATGCGATTACTAGGACCGTAGCTAAAGCAGATAGAAAATGGGTGTTGTCCGCCCGAAAACGCTGCTCTCCACGACGCGCTTCAATTGTAGACTTTTCGGGCCGACAATACCCATTTTCCATAAGCTTCAGCTACGGTCCTAGTAATCGAATTCATCACCTCCATGTTAATCACCGGTCCACATTGGGATTGCGCGTCGCAATCAAATCATTCAACGAGTAGTTTAAAATTACCCTCCAACAAAGTGAGATGCTTCAATGTTCGTGCATTGTGTGGATCTTACCCTAAGCATACCGTGTTATTTCGGGTATAGAGTTTCGCAACGTATGTGGAACTGTAGGTGTATGAGAACCACGGTGACAGGGCTCCTTAGGACAGATGACGCTCCTTCAATTTCTCATTCTGCATACAGTTTTCCTTTGACTCTTCCCCTAAACTTCTAATTTTAGTGTCAACAGGTGGCGATCCATTACGAGAATTACACTACATATTCCGGTTTGCACTCGTTTGGTGGCGATTCCATTTATCCTTGCATTTGCAACAGCGATAATCTACAGGTGGATTTTTGTGAGCTTATATTTATGGACCGGGGTTCGACTCCCCGTCGAGGCATATTATTGTGCGTGAATTTTAATCGTGACTTCTACTTTCTACAAACTTTACCCTACACACAAACTTCCAACATTAATCTACCATCGCCCCTTGGACATTTGTAGGCCAGGTACTTCGGTCCATTGGGAAGTGACGTGTGAGTGAGCCAATCTGCAACATCAGGACAGGTACTGTGAGCCCATTGGCAATACGTCGCGCACCAAGCAGAAGTCATGTGTTAAAATTTGCGCACCTAATCGTCAGCCCTCGGTAGCTCAGGTGGTAGAGCAGCGGACCGGAAATTCGTGGACCGGGGTTCGACTCCCCGTCGAGGCATATTATTGTGCGTGAATTTTAATCGTGACTTCTACTTTCTACAAACTTTACCCTACTCACAAACTTCCAACATTATGCTGTATTACTCGAACCAGACATGGGCCGATGTGCCTGCAGTAAAAACAGTCGAATCACCGTATCCACCCAAGACCTTGAATTTCTAGTGGAGAGGGACGTCAATTCTTTTCCCGACCCACTAGATGGAGGCCGCTTATAGCGTGTATATGGCTTCGCTCTTCCCTGGGCTATCGAAGGCTATTGTTCCGCGTTATTTTCCAGACCCCGTATAAATGAAATCCATTTTTAGTTATCAAAGCGCTTCCTCATTGATGTTACCTCTCACGGTATGGCGAAGCTTTTGATTCACCTTTACGTCTATAATTCATTGAGACTTGTGTCTCATGCACAGCTCCTCGATGGGACTCTTCTGTGCTCTCTGCATTCCTTCTTCTTCAGCCATCACCTGTTGTTTTTGCTTGTCATTCACAGCTGATGCGATTGATCTGTCGCATGTTTGATGAGATTATTTAATCTGAGTTCTTCTCTTTCCGCAGCCTATTGGCCCACTCCGGCTAAGGGATATATTACAACGACAAGAAGAATTTCATTCGTTCACACAATACATGAAATCGATCCGCTCCACGGTGGCACTAACAACTGTGCTGTTGATGAGTACGTTGCTGCTATCAGTTTGAACATATTCTGTGACTTTTGAATTTCGTTCTCAATGGATACGGCGGGCAAGCACTACTCGACCGACAAATGCTGTTCCTTCGGGTGTTGGCCTGTTGGTTTTGTGTGCAAATTCACCGTAACTCATGACTGGGTGCATCTAGCTTTCCTCTAAAGCCTTCCTCTCTCTGGCCATTTGCGAGTATCACACATAATGGAGGCAATTGGTGCTCCAGTGAGGCTTTGCACTTCATCCATCGTACTTTCGGTTTCTGGCTCCCATTCCATCTCACTTAATCATGCAGCATCTTTGATGCACCATCTGTCCACAAATTTCTTATGACCGCAATTCGTCGCACTATCGTCAGATCCGTTCTCTCCCACCTTCATTGGTGCCAAAGTAGCTACTCTATCAGTCTGTTATCAGGGCTACCGTGTTCTTCATCAGCTGATCTCCAAATCCATTCAACTCCCATAGGCATCGCATAACGCGAAAGCATGCTTGTTAGCCGAGGTGCGCTGTTTTCATGACCCCCCTGACGTCGTATTGTTTTACTTTATTCTTGTAGTGCGCCCGTAATCAGGTTTCATGTATCTTTCTGTGCTTGCTTCAGCGACTTACTTGGGGATTAGTTGTGGCTGCGATCAACTTCGTGCACTTAACCGGTTTCAGAATTCTCAGTAAAATTCGGTCGCCCTCGGTGCTTAATTTAATCTCGGGTTTGCATGTGTCTTCACATATCACGAACTGGTTCGGTCCCACACCAGTGGGTCTTATGACTGCTGAAACTATCCGCTGTATCCTCTTTTCGTCGTATTTTCTAACTGAACCGATTTCCACCTACTTTGCCTCGATCAGATGACGTTGATCAGCGTATTCGCAGTGGGAGCTTGTCTACAGATACCTGTCACGAGGTGCGCACACAAATTCGTCACATTCTTCAGCTGATCCGGGGTTTATCCACTCCCGACTTTGAGCCAACGGATGGTGACTACACCAATGGATCAACCGAGAAAGGGAGGAACGTGTGCACTGCTGTTTCACACGACACCTGCCATGGGACGAGGCCGCTTTTGTTCGGACTGTCGAATGACTTTGAAGCGCTTCTAATCACCTTTTTGAACAAGCCACCGGAGACAAAATCTTTGATTTGGCTCACACATAAGTCCCTATGGAAGGAGTAAGCTGCCTTTGTATTGCGTTACTTCGCATCATTTCTGATCAAACTCAAACCCGACCTCTGCTTATCGTACATGAATCCTTCGGCGTTGTTTGTTCCTCATACATCCCATTCAACCTCCGTCCTTATCCTGTCTAGAAACCTCATTGACCTTGATGATCGGGGTCACTGTCTGTTATCTGTGTTCAAGCTACCTGCACTCTCCATGTGCCACACCAACCCCACAGTCAATTTAAATAATTTTGTAATATCTTTTTCCTATTTTCCTTATTTTCTTCATTCTTTTGATCACAAGATAGCAAGGAGGGGACGAGCAACCTTTTGTACTTTTGCGTCAGTGGTTCAGTGGTCTGTATAATGGGGGAATAAGTGAAAATTTTAGCCTTTACTACCCTATGGAAATATGATCTTAGACGTTAAGGAAGCATCTATCAGCTATCACTGTTCTAACCTCTATTCGAGCTCTTGTCTATCAATCGAAAATGTCCTGCTCACGGTAACACAGAACTCACAAATGTGAGATTTCACTGTCAAGGGGTAATCGTTATGTGAATCGAATACTGGCGAAATGTTAGCTCATCGATGTTTTGAACAGCAAAGAGTTGGCCTCCACGGCGTGTTCTGTTCTGTTCCAAACATTGATCACTTGGTTTTCAAAGCGCTGTATGTGGGGAATTCTTTTCAGATCCGACACCACAAGCTTATACCGGTGCCCGCGTGTGCTGCGGGATGTTCGTTAGTAGAGTAGCAGCCTCAATATGGGTGACTCACCGAGATGTAGGATACGGTAGGTCATTCTGAGGTCGACTTGCATCCCAAGATACGACCGGGTATACTAGTTTCAGTCTCGCGTCGACCTTTATGCGGTGAAACCCGTGAGCTTGGGATGGGTCTGGTAACAGCGCGCTGGACCTGTTCGACTCTCTGTGCTTCGCCTTGGGTGTTTGGACAGTGGGCGGGCCAGCCGTATTCTAGCATTTATCTTACGGTGAGATATAGGAGGCGAGTCGAAACTTCTTCAGATCAGGTGCAGAAGCTGCGTTTCAGTGTCCAAGGCATGAACAGTCCTTTGCGATTTAGTCTGTTCGTGTTGTCCACTTTCTTCAGATCGCAGCGCAAAAGAGCACCTAGGTCATTTACGGATGGCGTGGGATGTAGCGTTGGTCCGTCGAGGTTGTAGGTTCGTTCATCGCCACCTTTCCCCAGGCTCATGAATACGTATTAGAATGAGTTGATCGAGAGGTGGGCTTCTGCAGACCATATCTAGAGGCGGTTGAGGGCCGCGAAGGTCTGCAAACAGTGCACATAGCGACGAAGAAGCTGGTGTAGTTCGTTTACGTAGCTTAGCAATAGAAGAGGTCGCGGAACCATGCCTTCGGATACTCCACTGTTAGAGGGATACTGGTCAGTTGGATGGACGTCGTCCAACAAGAAACTCCCGGATCCACTGGGGCATTGAGTCACGAACAGCATACAGTCCAAGTCGGTGAAGGAGGATCTAATGGTTCACCTCCTCAACAGTTTAACTGAAATCCTTGTAGACAACGTCGACCAACTTCCCCTACTTTATTGCTTGCAACCATTCATGCCTCACCACCAGCTGCTTGGTAATACACGAGCGACCTGCATGAAACCGTGTTGTGTGAACGTTGGCAGATTCTTTGATTGGAGCAAGTGCAGTGGAGTAATACAGGTGTCAGACAGATCGGTCGGTAATTGCCCACCTTGTTTGGGTCACTGCTTTACGGAAACAGTTTTGACACTTAGCACATCCCATTTCTCAGCAATGAACCTTCGGAAAGCGACCTGTGAAACAGGTCAGTCAAAGAACCGGTGCTTTTGGAGCATTATTCGCATCGGTTGGGACCAGTGAATAACAATTGCTTAAGTCCACCAGTTGGTTTTTCTCAAGAAACTTTGTGCCTCACAAGAGTGTGTCGAACCTGAATCATTTACGTTGGCTAGGTCACATCCTCCGTATGCCCATTGATCGGCTTCTTCGGCGTGCATTATACGGCGTCGATTCACCAACTTAGTGATACCACGAGGTGGTCAGTTGGTGACATGTTATGACACAAAGAAATTAACTGAGAAACTTGGCCAGGCTAGTGCGTATCTTCTTCGTAGATTGTGGCCACCTCAGTGGTTGAAGACTCTATCAGACATAGCGCAGCCGCGCAGTCATTGGCGTCCTTGCATTCGGTTTTTTGCATCTAGTTGTTAATTTTCCTTTCATCCCGATTAGTTTCGCGCGCTTCTTTCTTTCTTTTGTTTCCCTCGTATTATATTTACATTCAGTCTCATTTTCTTGCGTTTTTCTTTATCGTTAATCTGGTGACTGTATCCACAACCCTTATGTGCCCGGATCATATTTGATCAACTGAAGAGAACTCAATCACGAAAGGCGAGATGATGGCGGCTGAAGCTCGTCGGATCAAGCAGGCCTGCTACGGTCAACGTTGGCGAGTAGCTGACGTATTTCCTTAGCATCGCAATCCAGGCTGTCAACTTCGGCAGTTATGGCACATGTGGAACTCGGTACAGATGCATGGTCATTTGCGAATACCAAGGGAAATGCACTGCCAAGGCGGACGCACACTTTGTGTCGGATGTTAGTGGCTTTCTGTCTGAACCGTTAGTTCCGTTGCATGCGTAAATTCGCTCGGAATGACCAACAATCCGGAACTGGATAACGGTACTACTTACAAGTGAATAACTGACCATCTACAATAAATACCTCAACAATTATCTTCCAAATTCATAATGCTCACAATGACAATCGTTTGGTCCGAGTCAACAAGTCCAGCTTCAGAGCGTCCGCTGTACGAAGTCACGGCACTAAGGTACACGGTGTGTTTATAAGACGGGTAAAGCGGTGGGATTGGTTGATCACGCAAAAGGGATGCGGATTGGGTAAGCCTCAAGGGTGTGTGAATTTGGCATGTTGGGAGCGTTCACCGAGTCACAGATGCACATACACACAGGAAAGAATGATCAGACATGCATACTCGGTGGGGACAAAAACCAACGGACAGGCATAATCGATGAGGAGTGAAGGTCACCAAATGTCACTAATCGGTGTAGAGCATGGTGTTGACAACCGTAAACGAAATTAGACAAAGGTGTAGAGGCGATTTGGGGTCGTGGGAATGCGAGATACTAATGATTTTAGGGAACGCAGGACGGAACGAGTTGGAGGTGCGGTTTCACGAAGAAATGGGGAAGTAAAGTGGACATGTTTGGTAGGAGAAGGGCATATGGAGGGGAATTGTGTTCGCAGCATCCGAATGTTTTCTACTCTGCCCCTTAAAATTCGGTCCGGAATTTTTATTGCTTTACGACAGTGCGGTGCTGTTCAGGTCCACTCCCTCCCAATGGACGGATACAGGATTTACTATCGTACGCCTGCACCCCTCACTTCAGCCCCTTGAGCTCAATGGTCCTCCCTGGAGCAGCAAGACAGAAGATCCGCCCCCACCTGCGGAGAGCCAGCGGCCGGAACTATTTCCTCATCTAACCCACTTCCTTCTACCAAACAGATTTTCCGTACGTCTCTTACTATCTAAACTTACCGCTCGCTGTCTGTACTTTAAGAGACACATTATCCACCTTTATCCCGGCCTCCTATAGGATGTCTTCCTGAACAAGGTTTACATCGGAATCGCTGTCCAATAGGGCATACGTCTCAACAGATCGCAAGGGGCTTACCAAAAGCACCGGGACCACTCCGAGACATACCTACTTGGAAGCAGGACGGATAGTAGGATAAATGTTGGTCTGCTGAGGGGAACGTGGTGTCCTTTCCACATGCAACAAGGGATGGTGTTTCCCTTTACATGAAGACAACCTGCATCCCTTACTAGCTAGACAGCTCACAGCCCGATGGCCTACTCAGATAGTTGTGACATCTCCCCTTCGATCTTACAAGCTCCCAGCGGTCAGGGACGTCTAACGACAGAAACGTCGGGCATGACACTGTGTCATGTTTCTCGTTGCAGACTAGGCATGCGGGTTGTTGCGGCTGCTCCGACGATATGTAAAATGCAAAATTGCGGTCGGTACGTTTGTCACCCGACCGTTGCTACCGCGTCACATTCTAGGGACGCTGAGTGCTCGTAGTCGCCAGCTGATCAAATCTGCTACCTGGTACTCGCGCTTCGGTAGCGATAAATTCTGCCAATGCTCTAAACGAAACGTCCCGTACCTCTTGGACGAAGCAATCCCTTGCTCTTGCCTATCTCGACTGTAGGCTACTGGGCAAGACGCTGATCAATCGTTCAATGGTAGCTACTGAGTTCAAGTCAGCAGTGAAGTCCATTTTGCAAAGAGCAGTGTGCCAATTCTCCATTTTTATGGTTAGACGTGATAAATAATCATGATCATGCACTAGGGGTATCAGACCGGCAAATAAATTGTCAATTAACGATCTGGCCACAACGTGACATTGACCAAATAGATCACGGAGAATGCTCCTAGCCTTGTCGTAGACCCTTTCAGGGGGCAACATTACGCATTCCCTGGTGGCTTCTTTAGCTCGGCCTTTGCAACAATAAATCAAATATTTCTATTGTTTTCATCCCAACAGGTCACAAGCTACATAGCTCAACCATAATCTGGAAAAGCACCAGACGCGTTTTGCCCTATTGGGACTCATCAGTGGTGCGCATTCCCTCGGTCCCCTACTGGGGATCGAACCCATGACCGCTAGAAGCAGATACCAACAAGTCAGCAGCTTAAGCCACTGAGCCATGGGAGACGGCAGCTGAGCTACATACTTTGCAAGCTAACTGGGTTATAGCACGACCTATCTTCCACTGCCACACAGGTTACTTCCCTTGCAGATAACAGTGGCCAGCTTCCAGACTATGGTTTCCTCTCACTAGACGCTACCTCCATAGCATTTCAAACTAAGAGAGGCTACATTTCATATTACTTATGACGAGCCCCAATAGGGCGAAATGCGTCTGGTGCTTTTCCACGTTGTGGCTGAGCTATGTAGTTTATGAGCTGTTGCGATGTAAACATTAAAACTTGTGACTAAAATCCTCCTATTCGTAATTAATAACTCGATTAGTGAAATCTTTGCCTTTATCGGCTACCACGGCTTTAATAAAATATTCCAGTTGCTTCATAAACCTCCAGTACTCTGACTGATTGTCATCAACAAACTCCAATTCGCCCCTTGGTCGGTCTAATCGTGCCCAATAATCCTCCCGCAAACTGTCGGGAGAAGATTTAAGGCTAGTCACTTCAGGCCACGACCTGCGTCAGTCTTCAACGAACCGATCCATTTGTTCATTCCTAACTACTGGCAATCGACTGAGAACAACGGGTGGTTCATGATCGTCAACCCCCTCTAGTTCTAAATGCAGCTTAGCCATATTTACTGCGTTCTCGGCTTGCGAAACACGTTTCTTATTCTCCAACTCCATCTCGGCTAGTAACTGCTCTCTCTTTGACTCCGCTAACTTCAACGCTGCAAAAGCGTCGCTAGAATCAACACTCCGTCTACTCCTACCGCTAACTTCTGTCCCAGAACATGAATCCGCGTTGTCATCAACAAGCGGGTTTCATCCTCAGCTTCGCATGGCATTCTCTTTGAAGACGTCGTTCAACACAGGAAGATATTACTTTCGATCGAGATTCGAACCATCGTAGACCCATTGATCAGCACTGGTATCTCGAATGATGATGCATGTCACTTCAATGGGAAGAAGCAGGGCCAAGTCCTTGGACACCAAAGAAAGCCGCTGAGTTCTGTAAGCAACCAAATTGGCATGGAACGTTCGAGTGACGCGTTTCCACCGGGGTCAAAGGAACAACAATCCGGAACTGGATAACGGTACTATTTACGAATGAATAAATGACCATACACAATGAATACCTCAACGATTTGCTTCCAAACTCAGAACATTTACAGTGACAATCGCTTGGTCCGAGTCAACGAGTTCGACTTCAGAGCGGCGCCACCACATACATACTTCGAACTATACCGCACTTAATCTTAGTTGTCATGCCAATTTTCTTTCCACTACCTTCAAATGTAATAAACTCACCCGGGTTTTAGTTAACTCTCTCATTCTCGTCATTATTGTAGACTAGTTACTTTGTCGCTTAATCGGCTGCCTATTGCCACAGAGTTTTCTGGACACGTTCATTTGTGTGAAGCATCACAGTCGTGCTCAATGTTATCAAGCGAACTAAACACACGAGGTTGCCTCTTCAGTCAACCAGTGTACTCTTCTTCGCATACGCTCTTAGATAATCAGATATTTTCGTAAATCATGCACTGTCAGGCCAAGTATTGTGCTTTCTCGCACGATCACTACTTGAATGTTCTTTAACTGGACTGTCCAGCTTTCATTGTATCAGCCCTTTACTGACAGTTTTTCTCCACAGCCATGTCAAAAATAACTCTCGTTTGCGATTACTGTTGTACTTTGAACGTGTTCTCACTTTCTTTTCCATGGTCACTACAATGATGAGCCTCTTTCGAGACCGCTGGGTTTCCCTATACGAAATTATCCCCAAAACTGATTTATGCATTCGACTCACTCCGTAAAAGCTGAGTACAATCCATGCGGCAAAACTTGCTAACATGTTGAAGTCTAGTGTAAGGTCATGGCGCCACACCCAATCGTCCTCTTCGTACCTCTCTCGGAGTCATGGTCGGAGAGTAGCGGACAGCTTTTGTTGACTTTATGTGTCCAAAGTAAACAATTTATCACTTTTTGCCCTCATTTGACGAAGTACCTTCTCGTCTGAAATAGTTGCTCCATATTAACGGCTTCATCACTGCAGATCGTAGACTTCTCTGTTCAGTCACAGACGCATTCCATTGAACAAACACGCTATCACATAATCAGGACCACATCATTCTAACTAGTTGCTTCATTTGTTTCTGGTCACATAGCGCTGTACGATTTACCGTGATTGGTAACGCCTCGCTACTTTTTCCATGAATGTATCCGCAATTAATGGGTCTAATTGTGAGCCCATTGACGTTACCGTTCCTTATCAGAAAAGTAGCGATTTTAGTGTAACGGGACACTTTACCGACAAATAAATGGGGTAGCTGTGGCCGTAACACTTCTTGAGTCGATTGAAGAACAGTCCGCTTTGATCTTTACCAACTGTTATGGACTCTTGTTGCCAAGGCGTGTACTCTTGGCATTCTATGCGTCCACGTGATGACAAGCCGTCACGAGATGCTTTCTGGTGGATGAAATAGGGTCCTGCTTTATCACATGGTCCACTCCGGATTGTTGCGCCACTGGTTGTCGTAACCAACTTGATAGGTGTTCAATCACCCTTTAAACCAGTTGACAATCAGTCCTACTAATTTCGGCGCCATTGCAACTGTAGATGAACCAATAGTTGGCATGCAAGGCCACTTTGTCGTCGTCTCTTATTTAATGGCTTTGTGCACTACGATCCCCCGTTGCTCTGATCGCTTGAAAGGACCAAACTGAAGCACAACACGCACATTAACTGTCCACTGTAGTGAAAGGGAAGATTAATGACAATGTGATTAGCGCAGCCATTTCCTTGTATGTGCTTTTCATGTTGGGAGCGGAGAGATAATGTTTCCCGGGTTACATTTTAGTTTCCTCCTATTGGTCCACACTATGGGTCTAGTTCAGTGCTTCGTGCGTTGTAGTGTGGCGCATCTAGTCGCCTCTACACTCACTTCGCGAAAATAACGATGACGATAATGACTCAAATACGGACGAGAGCTAATGTCGTCAGCTGAAAAAGCCAAGGGTCTTAAAAAATGGCATCAGCAGTACGCCGGTACGCAGTACCGATGCTTCGCTGCCGCGCAACCACCACCACTCACACGTGAGCTAAGGGTACTACAAAGGTCGCCCGAACCAGCGACCTCAGGATTACAAAGCAGGCTTGTGGTCTTTAAGTCTGAAAGACCTCTAACTGACCGCCACGCAGGGCCAGTACAGTAGTGGTCCCTGCCAATCTTTGCATTACGATTATTCTCCATCTGTTGTTATTTATATCGCGTAACGTCTGCTTGCCTTCAAGTCACGCCGTTTCATCTGTTGTTCATACCACTTAACGAATAGTTGAAGCGACCAGAAGCTGTTCCAACTAACCAACTCTCACATGCTTTCTTTCCCTGTTTCCCTGTAAGTTCATGTAACGTTGTTTTCGAGGCAATTGAGCGTCGTTATCTTCCTCTCTACATCGAAAGCCCGGAGTATCTTTCACGAATGTTCGGTATGGCCCCACGACGCTCCTCAGCAGTTACAACTGGTCACAGGTATGTGCTGACAATTGGTACGATTCGTTCTTCTTGCACAAATTGTTCCCCATTCTATGATCATCCTTATTTTCACTTTGTATATACTGGCTCGTCTGATGCGACCTCGTTAGTTTGAACACGTTAGAAACTGCCCTCTTTCTAGCATCCATATTGTGCAATTTTGATGCCAACGACGCTTCCTAAGTACCACAGGGATGTCTGGTTGATGCCATGCAGGATTAAGCATATTTTGTCTCTGGGGAGCCAAATTTGACAGCAACCCAGACTACTAGTCAACTCGGCCTCATCTGGTAGTCTGCGCAACCCTACGATGTAAGGGATACTACAACATTCTTATCTTGTGACGAGCTTGTCTTATAATGATCAGTCTACAACATCTATCCTTGGTGGTAGAAACGCATAACGCCAATTGTACCGTGCGTTGTGACATACTTTCTAAAAATCCGGGGATTGGTGAAGTAGAAATTTACTCATCGAATCCCTTATAACACACGGATTTGTTAGTTTAAACACTAGGTACTAAGCTATTTCTCCTACAAGGTGTTTAATGACGATTCAGTGGTATTTGGCTACAACTGTTTCTGGTATTGCTTTTCGTAGGTTGTGAGCAAGCGGAAGATGCCATCCCGCGGCAAATTGCGCGTGAGCTGCTTTCACTACGAAATACACATCCCTAGAATAGATGAACAGTTCGGCTACAGAGGCCTTCATGCGGGAGCCTCATTGGTACCCACTCCAACTCTTAAGGCATCCGGCAATGGCATCCACTTGACAACTCCCCTGAGTAATGACAACACTGTGTGCACAGAATTGCAAAATGCCCAACTTGTTTGCAATCCCATAAATATGGTAATTACGAAATGGGGTGGAACACATGTATGGGGAAAATGACATTAATTTAATGGGATGAGATAAAAACACTAGTGTCACCTGATGGAATAGCTAAGAGCCAAATCCCCGAGATGAAACATAAGGCCTCTATTACTGGGCAATATCCGAGATGGTTTCCAATCGATGACGTGGCCACTCGGGAAATCCGTCCAGAACACAAAAGGCACCAACTGAATGCTATCTTTTTGTCGGTTTTTGCTTTTTTTCGATTGCCTCGGAATCTCGTTCTTTACATGCAGTAGTATCAGACAACCACTATGATGCAGTCGGAAACAAAACGTACGAAAGACGTGACCTCTGAGATCAACTGACACACCGGAAGATTTCTTTTTAGAACAGAATGACCGGCCACAGTGCTGCCCATTCGATGATGCCACCAGCTATCGGTGGTCAAACACCACTGGTCTGTTAGGGTTCCTTACACCATAAACAGCAGTCTTTTCGGTGCTTCTACAAAAACCCAAGGTGCGAACAGAGTTGTTTATTGTCTCAAATATCATTACTCATGCGCATTGCTTCTGACCACCAATCATTCAACTCATCTTCGAACTCTCTCCTGAAAGTTGTGTGATGCGCGCCGCTTCTCTAAATGTACTTCCAGTGCACATCTATCTGTGGCTCCCATGCGTTCTGTTGGAGCGCCGGTATGGTCCGTTGTTGGCCCCGTTACCTTCTAGTTTTCTCGATATTTTTATACTACAGACTCTTGGCAAAGTAGCACCTGCTTTTGGCTCAGTACAATTTGGCTTCCATTTCCTATGGGTACTTTAGCTGGTGAACCCATCGATCACTCCCAGTGGTTATTCAGGATTCATGCTAACTGTTTGTATCTCAGCTCAGTGCTGAAACAGTATCGGTCACTTCGAACGTGCAGTGCACAGCTCTGCATCATCACTCTGCACAGCAGCACTCGGCCAATGCTCCCAGACTGTTTCTTCTAGCCTTTATTGTCTAATCATCGATTGGCTACTCCGCAGTTTCGCCCATTTAAACGCAGCGACGGTTAATCAAATTGAATTCCGAGTACCTGCTGTGTGGTTGGATTGCGACACGCAATCTCTATTGAGACCTCAGTTCACTTTGAAGTGGACCTCGGTCATTTCGATCACAAAGACCGCATCCGAAATGGAGGTGTTTCGATGTTGTTCCGCCCAACACCGCCGTAGAAACACCTCCAATTCGGATGCGGTCCTTGTTTAGCGACGGCAAATTCACTAATCATTGTAATCAGGCCCATATTCTGAAAATTGATCCCTGCGTTCTACACTTACCTCTGCAGGTCTGTTACAATAGCCTTTGGAGAATAAACACTGGCTTCTAGACTTTTTGAGCATGCCAGGTAATTAGTCCGTAACCGTTGTCAGCGGCAGATGGGTTTTTGCACACCTACACCTTACTGATAAGGGCTGTTTGGCGTGAGCAGGATGTTATCATTCCAGTAATCAACGGTTGCTCCCATGTATCATTTGAGTTAAACTGCTGCGGTTTTTTTCACACTAACCCAACTGAGCTTGGTACCCGTAATTTTCTATCTCCTATGACCAATTTATGATTGGATATGTCCATTAATCTCTTCTCGGGTTCTCATCCTGAGAATGTTGAGCTGGCTTGTCCGATCCTTCTTCATTAAATTTGCTACTTTCATAACTTTGGCAACACACGGGCAGCGCCGCCTAGCTTATCTCAGTGAATCGGAAAGCCGAAGAAGCCATCTCATCACGTCCCAGTCACGTTTGTTCACGAAGAACATCACCCCCATCGTGCATGATCATTGTACTTGCTTGCTTTACAATCTTCATTTTTGCTCCCATTTGTTCTAAGGTAGCTATTTTTTCTTTCTATTTTTCATGCCTAATCCCACCTTTTACGCATCTGGTAGTGGTTCACCGAGGCGCGTCTCGACCGAGGGATCCAGTCTGTTTGGTATTCCTCTGCGTACTTTGTTTTCAACACCTACGGGTACGTATACTGTTTTATTATCGTGCTATTGCCATTTACTTATTGACCTTTACTAAAGGACCAGCCGACGGCGGAGCATAATAATACAATGGAGTAATGGCTGATGATGAACAAGAAATCATTTGCTCAACACGTCCCTTAGGTCTTCAGGGAGAGAAGCGTAAAAACAAAGGATATGCACGCGAAAACCACAGACAGCTGGGTACTGGTATATTAGAACCAAGTTTGTTGAAATAGGATTGTACTAATCATAGCAGTACATCTTACTAGACTTAACGCTCATGTGGAAGCGTAGGTAATTTCTCTAGCTTGTGACTCCAAAGTCGCAGGTTTAATCATGCATGGATGTAGGTGACTTCGCGATACACCTCTATACTGCTTGTCACTGTCAGTGATCGTGCGACTGCGAAGCGTCGGCACTGAGTACTGGCTTGAAGCTGACGCCCACTCACTAACTGACAATTAGGGCGGACCAGTAGTATGACGATACTTGGTTTTTAAATCTCTCCCCAATATTTTTAATGTCACTATTTAAACAGTCGCTTATGAAAAACACTCATTCAGTCCACCAAACCTACTGACCACTATTTATCTCACCACTCATTCTCACACGATCAGGGCAGCATACTCATCGCACTGCAAACTTACTATCCTTAATTAATTTAACGACAGCTGTTTATTTGCATCTGTCCCTGTCCTGTCCCTGATATAATTCACTCTTCATGAAACAGTTTAGGAGTAGCGCGTTATCGCTGGTGGCCACGTCACTGAGGAGGTTTCTGCAACTACTGTTTAGGTTCGCATGACTTCTCAATGCCTCAGTCAGTTTTGGAACACTAAGATGTAAGCCTGTTCGTTAAGGCAAAGGCTTTCCATACTGCGTTATGAACCATAGACCTGGACTTTGCGCATCGAATACGTTAGGAAACTGGATGTGTGCCTTCACAATATTGCTGATATCTGGTTGGACAACCAAGAGAGTAATCCGGTAGTTCACCTTCTGGTGTTTGTCAACAAACGGAGCGTTTGTTAAACTCGTATCGTCTCCACAGGTCCAGTCATGTGTTTCGGCATTTCCTCGAGTTGGAAGCCGAGATTTTTATTGTTCACCAATACTTTACCCACCAGGGTGAATCACCGAGACGGTCAGTTACTTGCATGGCAAAAGATCATCATAAAACATCAAATGGTAAAGTTTTATGTTGGATGTTGCCTGCCTGAAAACATCCAGTTCCCATCTTCATCACGGTACCAGTGATCGAGTTAACAAATATTTGCCTCAATACAATTGAGATTGCGCGTCGCACACACGCACGACTAATGCTTCAAATTGACCCCTCCAACCAGTATAGTTTCTGTCTTCTTTTGCCTGAGTGGGGATCCAGGAATAGGCCACGTTGGTTGTCGGAGTCCTTATGTTATGGCATTTGCCCTCCTGTTTCCGGCTCTTAACTGCTTCTTCTGAAGTTTTATTTCTTTATATTCCCCTAACATCCTTAATCGTAGTATTATTGTTCTTATCATCATAATTATCCTCCAAAAGTCAGTATCCAGGCAATCGGATCCACTGCGCTTCGATGTACGGGTTTTTGTTTAGCAGCTGAACTGAACTGTTTCCAAATTCCTTATCAAAGCTAGAAAATTTTGCTACGTTTACGATTACTATATCTTCCTTTTTGAGACTCAATTCGAAGTTGTTGATGGTTTCCTTGGCTCTTTCAGAGTACCTTTTGTGTGTACCGGCATTTCCGTTCTTTATATTGCTGACAAATCAGAGCACGAAGTATACATGAATTCTGGTTCCATTAGACTCTGCCGTTCAGTTCTTTACTGAAAATATGTACGTACAAATCAGTCAGTGTTGATGCCTGTTAGGTCTTTCGAACCGAAATTTAGTACTGGAGCAAATTTTGTGGCGTTGGTTTTTTCTGCCGCCACACATCTATCCTTGCGCGGAATCGTTACTGCACAGTACTCGAAACTTTGATGGTTTCTGGGATCCTAGGTTGATTGCACCCTAAAGGTTAACATGTGTGCTTTTTGGTTTATGAAATACTTGTGGGCGTGTTAACTGTGCACAACCGCTCTGCCGTTTTAATTTGTAGCTGCTGTCCATTTGTTTTGCCAATCACCGCCACCTGTGGCGCCGGCGTGACATCACTCACCCTAAAGGGCAGCCGTGCGTTCACCCTCCTGTACGGTTGCGAAATCTGACCAATCAAGTCGATAGACATAAAGAGACTAGCTACGTTCGATCATCGCTGCTTTCGCAGCCTAACTCATGCCTGGTGGAAGCACCGAGTGAGCAATGAATGTGTTCGGCGTAGCGTATTGGCTGCTGGAAGAGCGAATGATCCGCTCAGTACCATTATATCACGCACCAGGCTCCGGTGGCTGGGCTACGTGTTGTGCATGCCAACCCACCGATTCCTGCGAGGTGCGTTGTTTACGCCGCGGGGATGTGGCTGGAAGATGAGGAAGGAAGGCCAGGCGATAACCTGGTCAGGAGGAGTGAAGTCCCTCATTTCGAAGTTGGCGTCATTTGCCGTATCCAGGCTGCCGGTCTAATGTCCGAATGATGATGAGCACCTCTTGTTGGATACACTAGTTGACATGTCAAGGAACCTTCCTCGGTGACATTTCTGTTGTGTTGTGGGCTTCTTTGTCCCTCCCCATCCCGCTTATCTTCCTCTTCCAACCGCGATCTCTCTCTCCCTCTTGACGCATATGTTAGTAAGTGGTGTTTGCCCGTTATTTTGCATCTTCTAGTGTTCAGTATCCTGCTTCTTCTGTATTGTCTTTATGTATTGCGGCATAATTGTTAAAGTATTTTTCTCAATTTCAACTTATGTGTCACAATGATGATGATGCTTCTGTCCAGCTGTTACTTCAATACATCTCAGGCCACTTTTTCTTGTTTGGTTTTATATATTTCAGTTACCTTGGTCGATCTGCGTTTGTAGTCGCAGATATGTGATGAATTCTTACTGTAGGCCTTTGAACTATGCCGGGTGGCATCCCCTTGACTTGATTTCCCTCACGTGAATTATGCCAAGCCTTTTACCTGCTTATGTATTGGCACTTTGAACTTCTGATAAACCGTAAGTTTTCTGCACGAGATATCTGCACGCCTCACGGTGGTCTCAAATGAGCACCAAGGAAACGGAGCCTTCACGTTTTTCATCGGTTTTCTTACCTCATTATTTCATTGAACCCCACTTGTTTGGGTTTCTTAACACCTGATGGCTGCCCTCACCAATTTGACCAATAATTGGGTGAGCTTGGACTTGTGTGTCCTTTATTTATGTCGATTTGCTTTGTCTGATGGGTGTTGTTGTTTCCTCGCTGCCTTCTTGTTAGGTTTATTTTACAGCGGTTTTGCTTTAGGATTGCATTCTTTGCCCAGTCAATTGCCTCCATGATACAATCGAATTACTCCTTAAGGAACTCACGTTTCTCCGTAAGGCACTCAAGTTAGTCCATACGTTAGTCAACTTGCATCCAGCTTATGTACGCACGCACACAGGCATGCACTGTCCATGGAGTAACCAATCCGAAATCGGCCAATAGCATGGCAGATACATTGTGTTGTCCGAAATTTTGGTTCACCTCCATTATTATTGCGTGCATGCAGACCGATGCTCTCAACGTTAGCGTCGATTGACTACACTGAAGCTAATTCCACGCAAGCTAGGAGGCACATACTTGGTCAAACTCACATGGTACGATTGGGCCTAACGGTGAGAGGGCTTCACTTGGCAATTTCTACCTGTGCGCAAACACGGAGCTTGCGCACGCCACCATTAGACAATGACAGCAGCACATGGGGTGTGCGCTCACGGTTGCCTGTGGCCGAATTGTCTTTGTGACCTGACTGACCACCCACGTGCGCACTCCAGTACATGGCGCGCCCATGCTGAGCGGCCCTTCAACGGAAGGACTAACACCATAATGCAACCCGTGGCTAGGGCACGTTCCACTGTGCGTACAACAAGTTTCATGTTCAGTTGTGGTGGTCCCAGTACTCCATGAGGCTCAGCACTACACCGAATGTGAAACGGCTTAATATTCTAGCACCAGTTTGCATTTACTGCTTTGTACGAAATTTCAGGGGACGGAACATCAACTGACTGGGTGGCTTGTACACTGCGGACTAGTGAGACGTTACGCATCAATTACACAATCCCACTGTACTCACTAATGTGGTTATAGTTAATATCACAACCATTTGGTGTGTTCGACCCTAGGCAGTACATAACCATTGCCCGTCGCAAAGTGGTTCATCGGAAAACGACGGCCTCTTTGTCTTTTTTTCATCGTTCTTTCTTCGCAAAGCCAAATGTGCTAGCTTGATCAACACAGCCTTCACCAAAAAAGGCGGCGCTTGCCGCCGCTAGTTGTATCTGCATCTTTCATTTTTCCACCACCTCAATAACGGATCAAACTACCTATTAACGCTTTGTCCGCCATCTCAGCGAGCACTGCAACTATGATCGCTGCTGACACATGTGAGGTTCTTGAGACTGAATAGCAATACCATTCTCACGTACCGCGAATTCAGACCGAACGTATATGGAGTATGTGAGACTCTCCACAAATTGACCTGTGCGATCAACAACTAGGTTCTGCACTGAAAAGATGGGAGACATCGGCGTGATCCGCGGCAGTGCTGAAGCAGGAGTCAAGTGGCAAAAAGAACTAGTGGCCGCATGTACACACAAAAGGACACTAACAAAAGGTCCTCTGTACCCGTCCTTGCATGTAACAATTGCCACGTCTCGTGGACACCGGTGAGAGCGCTAGTGGGAGCAGTGTTAGCGATGCATTCAGCCATGAGTTAGTAGATGTCTTTGGCTACTCAGCTTATGTCAAGGGTGAACTGATGCATACCGTCAACATAACCGGACAGGTGAGCGTAGCGCACTCCAGGGCATTGAGTTACGTCTCAGCCCGCGTGCTGAGACAGCACTGTAACATGCATTGTATCGGCCTTAGTGTGC